GGGGACAGTTCTGTTTAAAACTCAGCTATCTTTTGGTAGGAAAAGACAAATATACAACACCTGTTATTTTGGGGTTGAGTTTTGGCTCAAATGAACAAGACAAGCCTAAATAAGGTCTCAAACCCACCTTTCTAGCAGATGGCTAGAAACTTTATTGCAATATGAATGAGCCTTTTTGTTCATAAAATATACAGCCGGTTTCTGTTGTTGTTACTATTGGTTGGATTCAGTTTCTGATTTGGTCTCCTTTTCTTGGGTTGCATGCAGTTATGGCATGGATGGGGACCAGATGGCAGTCAAGAGGGTGATGGAGAAGCAAAAAGTAGGCTGGCGGCCTGGTTTACTCCGTGTGCAGTTTCTTGGCCCACACCTGCCCATGACCTTTCTACCAGCTACTCAGCGATTGTTCTGCTAAAACCTTTTCTGTCTCTTGCTTCCAGCCCTCCCACCTGATCAAAATTAATCAGATTCCACAGAACCAGAGCCACTGGGCTAGAAGCCCTGGAAAGAGAGCACGGGCACCAGGCACCTTTTGTCAGGCTACTTCCCTGTTCCCTCAATGGGGTCTGCAAAAATGCACAGCCCTTGACTGTTAGTCACTTCCTAATCAGCCCTCTTACTACACCCTCTTATCCCAAATAACTTCTCGCACAAGTCGCCTTATCTCCCTTGAGCAGACTGGTGGAGTCGCTGGCTCTTTGCAGGCAGCCGAGAGTTTACAGAACGGAGCCCCAGTGCAAAAGGGATGTGGCGTGTCCTTCCCAGCCTGACTCCCACTTACCTTGTCATATCTTGCCCTTGCTTTCTATACCAGAGGTGCACACAGTCATTCTTTTGTTTCCTACCCAGCATTTGGTCTCTCAGCCCATCACTGCTTTGCACCAACTCCAGCTGCCAAGTTTTGCACTAACTCATCATCACTGGTACCAACATCTTTCTCCTCTAGCTGAGACAGTTTGGAACGCGGTGAAGATCCCAGTGACCTCTCTTCTTATGAAAAATATTGCCAATCCTTGACCACTCTCTCCTCTGCCTCTTTTAGCATTTTTTTTGCATGATATTTTAGTACTTAAGATCTCACCAGTTCAGTTCTCACACTTTTCCCTGCCACTCTATATTGTTTGTTTCTGTTTGTGGGCTACACCCTGCAGTGCTCAGGGCGTACTGAAGACTCTGCACTTAGGGATCACCTCTGGCAGACTCCAAGACCATATGGGGTGACAGTGATCGAACCCGGGTCAGCCACATGTAAGGCAATTGCCTTACCCGCTGTATTATCTCTTCAACCCCCCTTGCCACTAACCCTTAAATCACCTTTGTTTTTCTGACTTCAGCTGTAATATCAATCAAGGTATCAGTTAAACAACTCTCAAAGGATTAAAAATTAGAAGTCGCTCCCCGTGGCCAGCCCAAGTGTTTAAAAGCGGAAAAAATGTATGTATCACACATACATATACACACACCTGTAGAAACACATATACTGTATATATGGTTTCAGAGGGGTTTTGATTTTACTGTAGAAAATCCCATTTTAAGTCCAAGGGAAAAGAAACAAAAACACATACTCAGAACTGATGCAATTATCCATAACCAGTTTATTGTAGGTATCAGGTTTCAAAAATTTATAGCATAAATAACCTTTCACATCATAAAATAACTTAGTAGGATTTATAATAAAACTTTGAGAATGAACATCTCATCAAAGAACAATAAAATATGGTTTTCAAATAGGATTAACCCTTTCTGATTTCCTTTTACTTGAGGGAATATGAGCCAAAAGTACCCCAATGCCTGTGGCACATTTAAACCTTTTACAAAGCATATTTGGTGTATTTAAAATGTAACTCAACCATCCCAAATTTATAATAGAGTTTGTTTTCCATCCTGCTTGGTACTTTGTAATTTTTGTTCCTTTGGACTTGTACTGGTTTCAACATAGCTTCCTTCTTCATTTTCACCTCTTGCCACCTTGCAAAGTCATCACTCTCTCCGGCCCCCAGAACATGTAGTTGAACTCAGCCCCTTCGACATCAATTCTGTAATCCTTGCATCAGTGTAGGGAGTAACTGCTTGAGTAACTACAAAGGTATTTCAAAACTTCAGTGCAATTTGCTTCAGTGATTTTCATTCAGATGCCATCACCGTTCGGGGAGATTAATCACTGGCACCCACTGGTCCATGTAGCGACTTTCCCGGCAAAAACAAATAAGTTGACTCAGTGCCGGATCCTTCCATTGTGATGAATGTGGATTCTGAGAACAAATTTGAAAAAAAAAAAAGGAAAACGGTGAACTTACGATTTAGAAAAAGTCAGCACTGACTAATAATTTCACCACCTTTAAGGAGAAGAGACATGTACACTCTATAGTTTTGGCTCTTGGACACTGACCAGTTATAACCACAACAAATACAATTTCTTCTAGGGAGTTGGGTTTCCTGCAAAATCCTTTAAGGGTAATTCTCTGACATCCTCACAAGGTCTGAACACCTGCAACCCACCGAAGCATAAACGTTTGCATGATCATATTTATTCAGTTTTGCATATGGAGGCTCGGCTACCAATCATAGACTTATTTTACCAAACTTGTAACCCTGAGCCCTGATTGAAACCACTGGGAAATATTTCCAGGCAGTGAGTGCAAAACAAAGATGAGGGCTACAGAGCAGTTAACTGGATCCGCCTGCCACCTGTTACTCTGCCAAATAGCCTTTTTTTCATGGAGTTGCAAAATAACCGAACTGTCATGTCACTACACCAGTCAAAATGATTCAAGTGTTCAAAGAGAAAACAATCCGATTTATCTACAAACATAGAAATTACCTGAAGGTTTAATGAGTGGGGGGGAGGGGGAGGGGAAAGCGTTCATGTTTAAAAAAAAAAAAGAAAGAAACTGCAAAAAGTTGCAAAGAAAAAAAAATTTCCACTCCATCCTCTTAATGCATTTCTAGGGAATTAATAAGGTCTGTCTCCTCCACCACTTCTATTTTTAGCTGCCCTGGCAGAGAATGAAGCTGACTCCTTAATGAGGGCGAGCCAGGAATTTATTTGGCTTAATCTAATCTGCCCGGCTGAAGGAATTAGTCACGGGAGGTAGTGCAGATGTAGGTAGGGAGTAGCTAGACCCACAGTGCTGACTCACAAGGATCTCTTCCGCTGCTGGCAGCCGCCAACGTGCTCAGACATGTTCTGTCCCCGAGAAAATCCCCATGATGAAACTAGCACATCTCGGCTGAAAGTCCAGCCGCCCCCTCCAGGTCGCCCGCCTCTTAACCCTCGCGGCTCTTGCAAGCCTTGCAGCAGCCGGTCCGCGCGCCCGCCGCGCCCCCGTGCCTTACCGTCACCAGCACGCAGTGCAGGTCCAGGGGCTGCTGCGCGCCCTCGCTGCTGGCCGGACTCGCACTGGGCTCCAGCAGCAGCAACTCGGCCAGCCGGCCCGGGTTGCTGACGCGCAGGATGTTGATGTCGTTCTCGCAGCAGAACGCCCGGATCAGGGTGAAGTGGATCTGCAGGGCCACGTCCCGGTCGTCGTCCTCGTCGGCCGCCAGCAGGCACAGCACCACGTTGTCGGGGTCGCTGCGGGCAGCGATTGGGGTGGAGGGGCGTGTGAGCTCCCCCGTGGGGAGGGACAGACTCGCCCCGTGCCCCGCGTGCGCCCACCCCACCCCCTCCACCCTGCGGCAGATGACAAGCCTCAGGGAGTCCTGCCCGGGCAGGAAGGTGCCACGAAGTTCACGCGAGGGAGGGGGGGGGGTCCCCACTTACACGTTGAGCAGCTTGGCCGCTTCGTACACCCCGACGGTGATGGTGCGCTGACTCAAGGCTTTGCTGAGCACTTCTTCCAGGGCGTCCCCCACTTTATCCATCCTGCAAACCCGCGAGAGCCAGAGGGTCGGTCCCGAGTCCCCTCTGCGGGGACCGTCCCCCGCCCCCATCCACGCCCTGCCCAGCACCCCTCCTTGGCAAGCGCACAAACATCCTGACACCTGGATTCCTTGTAATCTCGGGTGACCCTCACCCCTGTGACTCCAGCTGTCCCGGGGTGCCACCAAGGCACAGCCACAGGGTGCAGCCCCGCGCCGGCAGGGCAGTTCTGTGCAATGCAAAAAAAAAAAAAACGATATCCAACGCAAATTTTTTTTTTTTAAAAAAAAAGAAAAAAAGATCCGACTGGAGAATGAAAGGGCGTGCGGAGAGTCCCCGCGGGAGCAGGGCGAGGGGATTTTTCCCGGGTCACTTTTCAGCGCTCGCCACCCCGCCAAGCCTCCCACCTCCTGCTCTGCAGCCCCGGGCACGAGTTCGGAGAGGGGCTCCAAGCGCACCGACCTTTCGATCTTCTGCTCTCCAGTCGCGAATTCCTCCAGAGTCATATTGCAACTGCAGCTCCCTCCAGGAGAGAGAGCGGCGTGCGGGCTGCTCCTGCCACCTGGGGCGCGCGGGCGCCGGCTCCGTGCGCGCGCTCCTGCCCGGCTCCTCCGGCCGCCGCCGGGCTGGCTCGCTCGCTCCCCGCGCCGCGTCTCGCCACCCACCGCGACGCCGACACCGCAGCTGCCTCCCAGCCACTGAAGGACAAAGGCCGGCCGGCGGGTGTTATCCTCGCCGCCCGCAGCCAACCACCTCCAGCCTCATTTGCATGCGCACAGCCATTGGCTATGCAAATCAACCGCTCCGCCGATTTGACCTCCGCGCCTGGAACCCTGCGGAAGTGGGAGGAGCCGAGGGGCGGGGCGAGGGCGGGGCCCGGGAGGGACCCGGGTCCGGGCCGATTCCTGCGGGTGGGATCTGGGTAGGGGAGGTGTTGGCGGCTGCAAGGCTGGTGGGGGCTGGGGGATGCTTCCCGGATGTTTTTAGCTTGGACTGGAGCTGGTGCCCAGTTGGTTTTTTTTTTTTCTAATTGGTGCGCTTTTTTTTTTTTTTTAATTTTCCTTTCATCTCTTTTGTTTTTAGGAGATGCAATTAAATTCTATTTCCAGGATTAAGGCCCCAAGTCTAGTAATTATTAGTAAGCAGGTTACATAAAAAGAGTGTGTCCAGAGCTCTGGGGCAAAGTTTACCTCAGAAGTGTTGTTTATGTAAGTCTAAGCAGAGCTGCTTATTAGTCGTAGTATAATTTCGGTGCCCCGATGGCTGGTTTATTTTGGGAAGGTGGCGGCGAGGGTTTGGAAGCTCCAAAAAAGAAAAATCAACACATTTGTGTTCGGGAGTGGCAAGGGAACAAGTTGCAATCTTTTTTTACAGAAAGCAGTGGGTAAGTAGGGGTGGGGGTGGTGGGGAGTGATCGCGGGAGCCGGTGAGCATGTGTGTGTCTCAGGCTTTCAACCCTGCCTCACCTTACCCAGAGCTCGTCCAGGGGCTCTGTCTACCCCTCACCAGCTAAGAGACAAATGTTGCTCGCCCACTTATGACACAAGCTATCAATATGCCCCGTGCAGCCTCTCACCAGGCGAGTACCTCACTCGGTTCCACAGAGGGCTTATGATCTCACTGTGCATTATTGAAGTTGGAGACTGAATCACGGAGCTGGAGCTATAGGACCTTTTAGTCATATGCTGAATTTTCCTCTTGGAGATAATGGCCACCTGTGGGTGGAAAGCAAGCAATAATTTTCAGAAAGCAAACTTTAATGCCTATACTTTCACTGAATAGGTTGAAAGTTCTTGCCTTCAAGAGTTAAGGGGACCGATGCAGAAACCTTCCTTCAACCTACAGAAGCCCCTAAATGTGGTGAAAATGTTCCCCTTTGCATTCAAAACAATGCTTGCATTATTAAGGTCGCATTATTATATGGTCAAAGGTCACAGGAGTCATTTTTTTGGCAAAAGTATATGGCACCTGAGTTTTTGGCGCCTGTGTGCTTGCATCACTCAGACAGAAGGTTCTCCTGCTCTCTTGATCTTAACTTAATGGGGATGTTTATGGGGGGGGGGGCAGTTTTCTGACCCTTTGGAGATGCCATTTTGCACGTGATCCCTAACCATTCTATTAACAAGAGATCCAGTTTGAGCAAAGGAATGATAGTGGCCATGCGTCCAGATGTTGGCACATTTCACATCTGCACCTTCAGTCTCAGCCTGGGATGCCTTGGTGAACAAATTTCTTAAAATTGAAATTTAGACAGGTGCTAAGGCACTTTCTGTTTTTCAGATAGTCGGAATTACACAATCTTGTCTGAGTCATTATTTGGAGATTGAATGTGTTCCGAGGAACTCTAGGGTTGAAATGTATTCCGAGGAACTCGAGGGTTCTATCCACTGGGCTTTTAGAGGCTCTTTGGAAGAAAGTGTGAGCATGCCAAACTGACAAGGAATTAGGTAATAGGTGTGAGTTTCTTTATAGCCGGACTGGAACTGTATCAACTTGGTATTCTCAGCACCTAGCACAATTTCTGAATTTGGCAGCAGCATAGTCAAGATGAATATGGGGTTGCAGAGAAGCTAAAAGTTGAATAAGATCTGAGAACCCAGCAGTCCCTGCAATGTATTGGCTGAATGTTCACTACATTTCATGTTGGTTATAAATAAATAAATAAACAAACAAACAAACCCCTTGTTTTTGCTACCAAAAGTGCTCTCCCAAGAACTGTACAATTTCTGCTCCTTTGCCTTTAACCTGCTGGCCAGCTCACTGGTGTCCCCGTGCTTGATTTGGGGACAAAGTAGGATTCACTGTCATCAGCTAACTCTGCTGAAAGTCCCATGACTTTAGTCATCTGAACAGAAGCTGGAAGCCAGAGGCACTTGGATACTGTTTATGCCGACTCAGATGAAGCCCAGACTTAATGATGGCCCCAAATCAGCTATGTGCAGTAAAAACATGGCATAAGCATGTCCTTCACATGACCTAGACCCTCTCTCAGAAACCATACTGCATGCTGTATGTGGTCTTGTGGGGAAGTGATTTGTTCAAATGTGGGGGTTTTCTCTGTGAGGTAAGCCTTGCTTTCCAGTATTCAAAAATATTCATTTGTCATGCTTTCTGACTCAGAGAGATTACATCATTTTGCCTCATTGCTGAGTCTATCTAGAATGTTTCATGCTGCTCATCTTCACAGTTGGTCCTCTTGGCTAGAAGGAGAAGCTGCATTTAACTACAGTTAGGTGGCAGTTAGACATTAGAAGATCATATTTATGAATAAATGTTCTTTGGCCTTGGAAGAAGCTGCTATTTAAGGATAAAGCCGAGGAATTTCCTAGATCAGTATAGAATACATATGTTTAAATAACTCCAATGTGTAAAATTATTTGTCAAAATAATTTGTCAAATCATTACTCCCAACCAATCATGTAACCCTAAGCCAATCCTGAAATGACATCATAGTAATGTTTGTAAGACTGCCAAATGATTTTATTTAGAGAGCACAAAGAAATATATGCTTCTGAGTCATTATTTTACTGTTGGTATAATATTTTAGCACTGTTACCTACTTTACATATTAAGAATTTTTTGATACCTTCTTTACTTTGTTTTCATGCATATATTCTTTCTCTTGGTTGTACATATAAATTTTATTATAAAATTAGACAATCTTTTTAAGATCTGAGAGAAATGTGATGCTTGTTAATTCTATATTAGAGGTCATTGTTTAACAACAATTAAACAACAATTTAGATGTATCATATGCTTTCCCAGAACTGTTTACATTTTATTGCTAAAATCACAAGGTTCGTGATATAATTTAATGTGCAAATTTGTTGAATTTAGTTTCTAAAAATGGGCCCCTGAATTTCCCTTATCTCTCCCTGCCAACTTTCCAGAAAAGAATTTAGTCATAATTAACTATCACTTAAAAATGTAATATCTCTTAGGATCAATGCTTCCATTTGAATTTAATATGAATGTTAAGTTTTTTGAACCATTACTGTAGTAGATAACTTTTAAGATGACCTCAGTGATCTCTAACCCCTGGTGTTAACTCTATGTGTACCTCTTCCATTGAGGAGGGGGAGTCCATGACTTGCCTCTAACTGAGTGAATATGGGAAGATGTTGTACAACCACACTCTTAGGTAAAGGTGAATTTTTCAGATTTAATTAGCGTCCCCAACCAATTGTCTGTCCTTCCTTCCTTCCTCTCTTCCTTCCTCTTTTCCTTCCTCTCTTCCTCCCTTCCTCCCTTCCTTCCTCTCTACCTTCCTCTCTTCCTTCCTCTCTTTCTTTCTTTCCTCCTTCCTTTCTGATATTAGGAGGTAAATTGTGCTAGGTAGGCCCCACACAATCAGGCAAGTCTCTTGGCCTAGGCCTTCTCTGAAGAGAGAGTAGAAGCATTCAGATATTCTCTTATTTGCGGGCTTTGAAGAAGCAGATTTTCATGAATTCTACAGCTGCAGCCACCTGAGAGACTGGAAATGGATTCTTCTCTAGGTGAAAATGCAGCCTGGCCAACACAGATTTGAGCGTTTGAAATCCTGAGAACAAAGTTCAGGTAAGTTTTGCCTGGGCTTCTGACCTGCAGAAACGATGAGATTTGGTTCTTAGAAACTCTGAAAACCACAAATAAGAACATAAGAACAAGTGTTGTTTTTCAAAAAAAAAAAACAAGATTTGTGGTAATTTATTACATAGCTTCCAACCAGATACAGTCCTTATTTTTTCTTTTTCTTTTTGGGCCACACCTGGCAATGCATGGGGGTTACTACCCCTCATGCACTCAAGAATTCCTCCTGGCAGTACCTGAGGGACCATATGGGATGCTGGGAATTGAGCCGGGTTGGCCGCATGTAAGGCAAATACCTTACCCACTGTGCTATCACTCCAGCCCCAAATACAGTCCTTTTAATGTCATTTTGTCTGATCCAAAAATGGTCATCCTATGGCAATTCTTTTAGTAATTACTATTGAAGACAGTGGAATCACAGATGCTTAAGCCCAAAGCCAACCACCTTGGGTTGCCATCAACAGCTCACTTTTTTTTTTTTGCTTTTTGGGTCACACCCGGCAATACACAGGGCTCTGCACTCAGGAATTACTCCTGGCGGCGCTCAGGGGACCCTATGGGATGCTGGGAATCGAACTCAGGTCGGCCGTATGCAAGGCAAACGCCCTACCTGCTGTGCTATTGCCCCAGCCCCCAACAGCTCACTTTTACCAGCCACCTCAGTGGTGACCAGTTGAAGCATCAATGAAGACTCACTGCACTTTTTACCCCCTCTCGTTTTATTTATTTATTTATTTATTTATTTATTTATTTTATGACTCAACATTGTTTATTGAAAACTTACCTACAGAGATGTGAAGGGAAGGGGGGAAGTCAAGAAGTGTATTTTCAAGAAAGAATACTGGCTTCTCCAGAGTAGAAATAGGCCAACAAGGAAACAAGCCAGCAAAACTCATGTTCAAGGGAGAACACTGGCTTGAAGGGCAAACCTTTTAAAAAATTTTTTAATTTAATCATTTAGTTTGGGTCACACATTTATAATAGTGTTGTTATTTATGGTTTTGATAGTTACCACACCTTGTCACCACCAAAGTGTTTACAACCCTTAACCAATGTTCTCATGTTACTTCTGGTCTACCTCTCCATGACCCCATCTTCCTCTCCACCCATGTTTGGTAATCTCAGTTTTGTAATCTAAGGCCAAAGGTTTATCATTTTTTGATACTGTCCGTTCCCTTGTTTTGGTTCTTTATATACAGCAGTGAGTGTGGTCATCCAGTATTTGTCCATTTCCTGCTAACTTATTTCATGTAAACTGATAACACGTAACATGATATCAAGTTCCATTCATGTTGCATCAAAACTGCAAGATTTCATCTTTTCTTGTAGCTGCATAGTATACCATTGTGTGTGTAGACCACAGCTTCTTTGTCCATTCACCTGTTTTTGGACATTTCAGTAGTTTCCATGTCTTGGCCAGTGTACCAAGTTCTGTAATGAACACTATGTGCATATATCTCTTCAAATCAATATTTTTGTTTTATAGGGATAGAAGCTAAGAAATGGAACTGCTGGATCATAGGGAAGCTCTGGGTTTACTTTTTGGATAAATCCCCAGACTTTTCCATAGCGACTGAATCTGACGACATTTCCACCAACATTGAGTGTCACTGTGACTGTCACTGTCCTCCTGTTGTTCATCGATTTGCTCGAGCGGGCCCAGTAACATCTCCATTGTGACAATTGTGACTGTGTTTTGGCATATCGAATACGTCACGGGCAGCTTGCCAAGCTTTGCCGTGTGGGCGAAATACTCTTGGTAGCTTGCTGGGCTCTCTGAGAGGGGCGGAGGAATCGAACCTGGGTCGGCCAGGTCGGCCACATGCAAGGCAAATGCCCTACCCGCTGTGCTATCGCTCCCTTTCCCCCCACATCCTTGTCAACATAACTTGTTGCAAGTGTTTCTGGTATGTGCCATTCTCACTGGCATGATATAACATCACACTGTTTCTTTGACTTACATTGAACACTTTTTCATATGCCTACTAAGACCGTCCTCTTTGGGGAAGTGTCTACTCTTTAGCTCCGCTTGCAATTTTGATGTGGTTATTGGTTTTGTTGTTGTTATTGAGTTTTGAGAGTGCTTGATGGATCTTAGAGATTAGTCTTTTATCTGGCATATATGGCGCACAAATATTTTCCCCCATTCAGTAGGGTGTTTTTTATTTTAGCCAGTTTCTTTTGCCATGTTAAAACCTTTTTAAGTTTGATGTAATTCCATTATTTATTTATTTATTTATTTATTTCTTGCCAGTGGAGTCAAATTTCTCCATGATCCATATCCCTAAGAGTTCTGTCTACGTTTGTATTAGATGTATTTTTATGGATTCAGACCTAATCTGGAGTTCTTTAATGCATTTTGAATTAACTTTTGTCTATGATGTGAAATAAGAATGCAGTTTTCTTTGTGTTAATTTATTTTTATTTTTAAATTTATTTTAATGTAGGAAAAAAGACACAACTGTTGATACAGTTCTAGAATTCAAATTGATAACAAAGCTTTGATATTAAAAATCAATAAGTATAAAAATCAATCTAAGTGAAAATTGTTATATCAGATTGTAGGCTAACTCCTTGTCTAAGAATTCATTAAACTATTTCTGGTTGAGCCATCTGTGTTATTGTTTTTATTTGTTGAGTTTAGTCAACTTCTATGCTACTTTCCTAAGGAATCCAATTTTCTTCTCTCTTTTTCTCTCTCCCCCTCCCTCCTTCCTTCCTTCTTCCTTCCTTTCTTCCTTCCTTCTTTCCTTCTTTCTTTCTTTCCTCCTACCCTCATCCCTCCATCCCTCTTTCTTTCTATCCCTTCTTTCTTTCCTTCCTTCTTTCCTCCTACCCTCATCCCTCCATCCCTCTTTCTATTCTTTAATTCTTTCTTTCTTTCTCTTTCTTTCTTTCTTTCTTTCTTTCTTTCTCTTTCTTTCTTTCTTTCTTTCTTTCTTTCTTTCTTTCTTCATTTCTCTTTCTCTTTCTCTCTTTCTCTCTCTTTCTTCCTTCCTTCCTTTCTTTCTTTCTTTCTTTCTTTCTTTCTTTCTTTCTTTCTTTCTTTCTTTCTTCCTTCCTTTCCCTTTCTTTCCTGTGACTGTCAAATCTTCTCAGCACCACTTGTTGAAAAGGCGCTCCTTGCTCTATTTCATGTACCAAGTCCCTTTATCATAGATTAACTGTCAAAAATATCTGAGGATTTATGTCTGAGCTCTCAATTCTACTCCAGTGGCCTGAGAATCTCTCTTTATTCTAGGCCACATTGTTTTGATTAGTATAGATTTCTAGTGCAATGTAAACTTAGGAAATGCAATACCTCCCATCTTCATTTTATCCAAATAACTTTAGCTATTTGGGGAAATTTTTGATTCCATACCAATTTTAGTCGAGTTTTTTAAGCTCTTGAAGAATGCTATCAAAATTTTGATGGAAATTGCATTGAATCCATATCATGCTTTGGGTAGGAATGTCATTTTGACATTATTAATTCTTCCAATCATGTACATGGAATACTTTTCCATTTCCAGGTATTCTATTTCTCTCAGTAATGACATAGTATTCAATGTATAAGTCTTTCACATCTTTTGTAAAATTGATTTCTAGGTATTTGATATTTTATTATTTTGATATGCCAGACACAGTAACAACAAAATCTCCAATGGAGACGTTACTAGGCCCGCTCGAGCAAATCGATGATCAATCGACGATTATTTTATTTTATTTTTTGCTTTTTGGGTCACACCCGGCGATGCTCAGGGGTTACTCCTGGCTCAGGAATTGCTCCTGCGGTGCTCGGGGGACCATATGGGATGCTGGGAATCGAACCTGTGTTGGCCATGTTGACTGCGTGCAAGGCAAACGCCCTACCCGCTGTGCTATTGCTCCAGCCCCCAGGTATTTGATATTTTAAATGAGCTTTTATTTTATTTTTTAATTTTTATTAGTGAAACACCATGAGGTACAGTTGTAGACTTACAAATTTTTGTGCTTGGGTTTCAGTTATACAATGATCAAATACCCATCCCTCCACCAGTGCCCATTCTCCACTACCACTGATCCCAGTATCCTTCCCACCCCCACACTCCTCAATCCCACCCTGCCTCTGTGACAGGGCATTTCCTTTTGTAAATGAACTTTTAAATGAGGTTGTTGCTCTAATATTTTTCTACTCCAGGTCATTATTTGCATATAGAATGCAATCAATTTTTTTTGTATTTATTTCATAGCCTGATACTTAGCTGTGTTGGTTTGTTGTTTTTCAAGAATTTATTTTAGTGAATTTTTAAAGGGTTATATATGTATAGAATCATGACATCTATAAATAGTGATGGGTACCAGGGTAAGGATCCCCTTATCCCATGTTACATCTCCTCAATGACTTAAATGTGTGTCAAAAGATTTCTGTGGTGGAAAGAATGTTGGGTAAATCTCTACTGAGGAAGACAGTTACCTGAATTGGTAATTGGATAGCACAGCGGGTAGGGCGTTTGCCTTACAAGCGGCCAACATGACCCGAGTTCGATTCCTCCGCCCCTCTCGGAGAGCCCGGCAAGCTACCGAGAGTATTCGATATGCCAGACACAGTAACAACAAAGTCTCCAATGGAGACGTTACTGGGCCCGCTTGAGCAAATCGACCATCAATGGGAGGGCCTTTACTTTACTTTACTTTAGTTTCAAAGAAGTGTGGGAGTGCGGGACTCGAGTGTTCAGTGCCCAAGAACCATTCCCCTGGCCAATCCATAGCAATGAAGAGATGAAGGACTGAGGGAATGGAGGAACAGGGGTACCGGGCCCCAGGCTGGTTGATAGTTCATTTATCTCTTTCTCCTCCCCCATATGGTTCGACCTCTTCCCTTACATCACAATAACTTCTCTCCCTTTCCCCAACATAGTCTTCACTGTAGTCATACTCATCATAGTCCCGTAGTCGTCATCATCATAGTCATAGTCCCCTCTTTCGCCTTACAGCATAGTTATATAGAAATCATGATGGGTGAGGGTACAAATAGGTGAGGTTGAGCATTGTCATAGCAACAAACAGAGGTAAAGTAATTCCTTCAGGGAAAGTTCCAGGAGATTAACTCAAGGACAAGATCTAATCTGAGGGTTCAGCACTCTAGATCACTAGGAAATCCACTCAAGGGCGGAATTCCATCTAGGGTGTATTGCTTTCTCCTTTCCTCAGCTAGTCATCTATTTAAAAAATCATTGTAAATTTATTTATTATAATATATATAGTCATTTTGTATGAACACAGTAAGAGATATATTAAGCTTAAAGTTTGGCTCTTCCTGGAGACATCTCACTATATATCCCAGACTACAGTTCTCAGGCCAGGTTAGTCTTTCCTAACCCCAGTAGGGTCCTTATTCAGTTATTTCTTTTTTGGGTCATGACAGTTTGTTCCATGATCATCCTCTTAACTTATTATACTTTTTATGGCACTTAGCTTGTCCCTTTCCAATGCCAGGGTAGCTTACAGCTTGCCCTGGGTCCATCCAGTCCCTTTGTTGGGACCTTCCTTTTGGGGGTATTAGGAAGTAAAGGCAACTGAGTCTTAAGTCAAGTAAATATGATGGATGCCCAGGAGTAAATATTCTGAGTCAATTAACTCCCATGTTACAAAAACATTGCATGAACTGTCTTCCTGAGCTTATACAAAGAGGACATTGCAAAACCATGCAAGTGACATAAAGGAAAGAGAAAAGCAATATAGGATTATTAGTACTTGATTGAATCGGGTGTGCCTCCAGAGCACTGTTTTGGGAGTAACTTAATAAGCCTAAGTTCCCTGCGGGAGAAGCAAGGACAACCCAATGTTACCCAACAATTAGCCAATGGTAGTTTGTTTTCCACCTTATACAGGATTTCGAATGTGTTCTCTCTGAAAGAAAAATGATGATTCTTTTCATCCACCTATTTCACTGACAAGTTTTCCTCTTCCTAACTCTTTACGTCCTTGAACTTGTCCCCTTCTTCCTCCCTTCACTCCCTCGGTGATGCCATCCAGTCTCCAAGCCTTAAATATTTATATGCTGATGACTCTCAAATGTTCTTTTAAACTGGTCAGTCATCCCGCCTGACCTTCAGGTTGAGTCATCATTTTTGTTCCAATATACAATAAACATTTAGTATTCCAATGACAGTGTTCGTGATTGTCCTCTTATAGGTCAATGGCAGCTCCTTTCTTCCTGCTGTCCAATCCCCAAAGCATGGTGACTTCCATGACTTCTTCGCTATGAGCACACTTCAAGATGCAAACCAAGTCAGCCAGTCCTTCTGGCTGCCTTCCCCACCTGGAAAACTGCAACAGCTCCCTGATTCTGCCCTTCCTTTCTCTCCTCTAGCAATCAAAATAATCACAGAAGGGGCAACTCAATTCACCATCAACTCTCCAACCCAAATTCACCAGTGATTTCTTTCTTTCTTTCTTTCTTTCTTTCTTTCTTTCTTTCTTTCTTTCTTCCTTCCTTCCTTCCTTCCTTTCTTCCTTTCTTTGAAACTACTCCTGGCTCTGTGCACAAGGGGCATTCCTGGCAGTACTCAAGACCTGGTGGTGCACTTGCAGTGCAAGAGATCATACCTGAATTGGTCACGTGCAGGTCTAGCAACCTTACCTTCTGTAATATCTCTCTAGTCCAAATGTTCTGATATTAATGGTGATAATAATTGCATAACTGAATTATAATATTAAAACCTATTGAATGACATATATAGAATGAGTGGTAAGGAATGCAACCAGTATCTCAGCAATGCTGTTTTTAATGTTATCGAATCCCTATTTCAGCCTCATCTACTCCTGTTTAGTGCTTGTCCTCTCTAGTCACACTGGCCTTCCTTTGGCTTCAGAGCCTTGGTGCTGGCTCCATGCCTAAGAGGTACATCCTCTTGCTAACCGTGGAGTTCACCTCCTTCCAGTCCCCTTCTCAATGAGCTAGACCCTGCAAACCCTCTTATCCTTGCATTCCTGATTTTCTAAATCACGTTCCCTCTCTCTTTTCTAACATACATATTTGGCTAGTTTCTCATAACTCCCTTCTCCTGTAACGCCCCAAATATAAGGGCAGGGGGATGGGTCTGTTTTGTTTATTGGTTGATCCCTATGTGCTTAGGAGAGTGCCTTGCATAGGGTGAATACTGATAAACACACATCGAATCCGATATTATTGAAGAAATAAGTTGTAAAGATTTCAGATGTAATTAAAGATTCAAAACATAAAAGCACAAGTCTTCTGCTTCCTGTTTACATATTAGAAAGGAAGAGATTTTTGACTTCTATTCTATTGGGCTGGAGCGATAGCAGGGCTGGAGCTATAGCACAGCTGGTAGGGCATTTGCCTTGCACGAGGCTGACCCATGTTCGATTCCTCTGCCCCTCTCGGAGAGCCCACCAAGCTACCGAGAGTATCTCATTCGCATGGCAAAACCTGACGTATTCGATATGCCAAACACAGTAACAAGTCTCGCAATGGAGATGCTACTGGGCCTGCTTGAGCAAATCAATGAACAACCGGAGGACAGTGCTACAGTGCTCTACTTCTATTGGTTGTATTCTTTTCTTTTCTTTTTCTATTGTAAT